CCTCCAGATTGTTCATCCAGCCTGTCCTAGACAGGCCTGCAGAGACAACATGCATAAAAACAAGACAGAGCAAAACCAAGCAACAATGTACAACAAATCAGCAACAACCTCAATCCACTGATGAAGAACAAATTAAAATATACCAAGCAAGAAAAGCTTGTGTTTTCCAGTCTAGCCCTGTCTCCAATGTCCACCCTCATCATTCCCTGGATCTTGCTACTCCCCTCCCCTGCTGTTCCGCTGCACACACCCCACCCCACCCCAGTGCCTTGCCTCTGCGTGGCGGGGTCAGATCAGGCGCAATTCACACACTGTGTCACTGGTGTTGTCCCCTGCAGGACTATAAATCTTTACAGGAGCAGAAAACTTCATATTTCTCCCATGGAGGGACTTGTAGGTTTGAGTTGCTTACTTTTCAGTTAGCAGTCCATTACTTAGCTCACAGTTGTAATATGTGTCCTCGTAAAAAGTAAAATTTTGAAGCATGTAGAAAAGTGGGGGAAGGAACGGTCTGCAGTGAGACACAAGGGTTAACTTTTTGTGTAATAGAAATATTCTACACCATGATTATGGTGATTGCATAACTATCCGTGTGTGAAAACTTAATGAACTGCACACTTTGAGAGTGAATTTTATTATATATATTATATACTACGATGCTAATTTTTTTAAAATGTTTTCTAAATCAGATGTAGGATTTATGCAAATTGTGATTTTTATAAACTTGCGAGGGAAAAGTCACATATCAAAAGATGGTTTTCATTTTTTTTTTTTTACCAAATAGGCAACGTTTCATACGCCTTTTAGTCATTTGGGTCAAAGTCCAGAAGGATGCTCCTCTTACATGTTCCCGAAGATAATGGGCTCAGCCAAGGTAACTTTGGAAACCTTAAAAATAAAATTCAATGACATTGCTATTCCAATTTAATAAGTCACTTTTATCCCCAAGATAATCATTTTCTCTGTCTTCATTTTCCATTAGTGGACAAAAGAGTTGAAAAGTGGTTTTTTTTCCCCAGAGGAGGCTGATTTTTTGCCTCAGGAAGGGGGCACAGGGAGGGCACCTAGGGAGACACCACCCTCCCCACCAGCACACACACTCTCTTCATCTGTTGGGCTATGTAGGTGACCCACAGAGAGGGGAGGCAGCGCACAGATTCTCAGGGAGCAGAGCAACAGGTAAGTGGCCACATGCTTTGCAGACACAGCAGTGGCTACTGTAAACACAGGACTAAGGGCCACCTTGCTGTGGAACAGGCTGGTCCCTCTCTGCTTGGGGAGCAGATACCTACCCAAAAGCAGTCCCAGAGTGGGCCGGGGAGGCTTGGCGGCTGCTCCCCACCTCTAAGAATTTAACATATGCACAACCCAGGTTATGGCCAGTGTCTCTGCGACAGAAAATGAGAAATTCTCTCTGTAACTCCAAACATGAGGACAGTACTTGTCCAGTTAATTACTATAGTGTTATCTGCATTTACACGCATCACAAGGCCTTGTCCTCAGTGGCTACGTCAACCCCCCAAGTCTTCTGAGTTTGGGCCCCACTTTAATCACTCTATGGATATAGATGTGGAAAGTGACATGTCTTCGTATTGCTTTTCCTTTCAGGCAGCTGAGATGCTCATTTTTGGAAAGAAGATAACAGCAAAGGAAGCTTGTGCTCAAGGACTTGTTACTGAAGTGTTTCCTGATAGCACTTTTCAGAAAGAAGTTTGGACCAGGCTCAAAGTATATGCAAAGCTTCCACCAAATGTTAGTATTCAGTTTTTACTTATAGGAACCATGGATATAATTTCCTAGAAGAAATATATATTTGTGTTAATACATAATAAAAAAGACAACATTTTTTGTTAGACTTTAAGCCCATTTAAATTTTGATTCAGTAAAATAATGTTGAAAACACAAGGTAGCTTCAAGACGTTCATGAAAAAATTCCATTATCTCTAATTCCATTTTTCCACAAACTTTTTAAACCCCCTTGTAGTGATTTTACAAGTGTATGTAAACATTTCCTTTCTATTCAGTGACAATAAAGGGACCGTTCTTTAGAGGGATAATTTTGAGGATGATGGTATTTGCAAAGCAAATCTTGCCATTCAGATTAAAGATCAATTGACTGTATGTTAGGAGATCCTTATAGTGCAGCAGTTTTTTTGTTGGTTTAGTGGTAGCTAGTAGCTGATTGCTCTTAGATTCTTGCTGTTCACTGTGTAGTCCTGATGATTTGGCACCCAACTAGGTATTCCTTAGAAATGTGTATAATCTTAGGCCCTGCTCCTTACCTACCGAATCTGAGTCATCAACAAGCTTGCCAGGTGATAATTTTAAAGTTTGAGAAGTACTTTATTACAGAGGCACTTAAGACCATGTGGTCTGCTGCCAAAAAATAAACCAATAAAAACTCTATGGAGCACAGTTGGACTCGGACACACATGGAATTATCATGAGTCAAAGTGACTCCATGGCACCCAGTCTTGTTGGTCTTTTATATTACACATATATCTTAAGGATTTGTTCAGTGAACAATAGAGAAATAAGAATCAGTGTTAGAGAATAATCCCACTCCTATTAAAATAACTGCTGACCTTATTGTTGGATTGTTTTCTTTAGGCCATGAGAATTTCAAAGCAGCTTATACGAAATATGGAGAAAGAAAAGCTACATGCTATTAATTCTGAAGAATGCCGTGTCCTCCAAAGCAGATGGCAGTCGGAAGAATGTGCAAATGCAGTCATGAACTTCTTATCTAGAAAAGCAAAACTGTGATAACTGTTACAACCAAGTCATGTACATCAAGGGAAGGGGTGTGATATTCTGATTTCTCATATTTTGAACTAAATAAACTTCCATGATGCCTTTTTCAGTGCTACTATATCTCTATGACAGTTATATTTCATTGAGACCACTAGCCAAGATCCGTTTGAGTTAGATGAGGCTGGCTGCCCCCGGAAAGATTTACAGCCTTAGAAACTCTATATGGAGTCGCTGTGAGTTAGAATCTACTTGTTAGCAGGAGGTTGGGTATTTTTAGAGCCCTAATGGGGGAGATAATTATATAAACTAAGCTTTAAGGATTACATAGGAGCCTTACATCTTTTGACATGAATTGTTGTTGCCAGGAACAGTGAAACAGCGTGCCTGGCCTCCTACTTCGAAAAGCATTCACAGCATTGCATGCTGAGGTCATGTCTTCAAACACCACAATAGCACTTTGTCGACCACAAAGAGAAAATGACTGGATGGGACCAAACATGGATAGTTTCTGGATGACTGATTGAAGATCCTCCGTAGGCTGCAGGTTCTTCCTCAGCCATCTAGAAAAGAAGTAAATGGATGGTCTGTATTACTAGAAAAGAAATACAATTCTTGCATTAATTTTTTTCTTAATAAAGTCACGAAGACAGTTTGGGGAAGATGGCGCCGAATTTTCCCTTACTTAGACCTCTCTTTGTGTGTCTCAGAGAGCAACTGGTAAGGAGACCAAGTCTGGAAACTTGGACGCTGGCCTAGATTCTCAGCACTGTGGGAATCTGTTCCGTTTCCCCACTCTGATTCTCGCCCACAGAGAACACAGTGGAACCCCTCTGAGGTCTCCCTTCCCCTCACCAATGAACTCCCCTCTCTAAGTTCCCTTTCCTGTTGTGGTCAGCTTGTTCCCACCTACTAAAGCAGGCCAACCAAGGAAATTTAGAAGAAGGACCCAGACTCAGGCCACCATGGTAGTGTTTCAGGCTTTTCACTCAGATTCTTGCCCCTGGCAAATGCAGCATAACCCCCTGAGATCTCCCTTTCCCTGCCCCAGGGACCTCCCCTTTCTGGTTGCTGCAGGCACCCAGTCCCCCTACAAAAGCAGGCCAATCCAGGGAATTTAGAAATGAGACCCAAACTCAGGGCACTGCAGGATTGTGTTGCAAGGTCGCCACCTGCCTCTCCAGATAGATAACCTCATCCTTCTAGAAGGGATAAGGCCCCATTAAGACAGAAACACAGCTCAAGCCAGCAGCGGACTTCAAGAAGTAAGATTTTGTCCTATTCTGAGAAAGGAAACAAAAGCCCTTTACCTGCCTGAGGAAACAGAACCTGGCATTTCTAGATTTCTAGACAGCTGACCCTGCCCCTGGCTTGGTAGCCTCCTGACGTGGGGTCCCATGGTCCTGTAGCCAGATCACCTCGGATTGGAACTCTCCTCCCTGGGGCATCCACTATAATAGCCTATTTACACCCAGGGACCATATGTAAGTTCTGAGCTGTGCAGAAATCCACTATAAATGGGCCTCCTGTCATAAACACAATAACAGAAGGACTGCAACTTCCCTACTTTATAGGGATGATAAGTGACTTGGGTAAATTCAGTATACCCCACACATACTCTAACCACTATAACCTCCAGACTCTGCTTCCTCCGCCTCAGTAACACACTCCCTTTAACTTACCAAGTAAAACTGCATCTCCCATAATGCTCTTTGCCAACCCATTAAAAATTAATACACTTAACAGGAACACGTCCTATGATTAATAACACCAATTAAAATCTAACCCTGAGCACCTGTTCCCTAATCCTCCTACTCACCCAAATAACACTTCCCCTTATCTACACACAATACGTTTTCCAACACCTATCTGATCTCTCTTAACTAAAGAGCCAGCCCTTACCTTGCCTACATATCCCAGAAGACTTCACATTACTTCAGCTCAACCAAGGTGTGTCACAAGAAAGAGCCAACACCAGCAGCTACCACAAAAAATTTAGAGAAACAAAAGTAATTTACTGAAGTCTTAAACCCAACAGTTTACACAGAAGAAGCAGCCCTTCAACTGCCAGAAAAAATGCATGAGAATATTGTTTATGACTGTCCAAGGAATTAGGGGATCAATTCTAAAAACTAATGAAAAAATAGAGATACTAGAATTCTCACAATGAAAATCCAGGAGTTAAGGAGTGACGGCACAAATGAAGAACAAGGTGAATGATCTCACCAATTGAATGGAAGAAATGGGAAATTGAATCAGCAAACTTGAAGATATCCAAGCAGAATTCAGGAAACGAGAAACAATCAAACAAAAAAGAAAAAGAATCAGAAGGAAGTCTCAGAATGATGTGGAATTCCATTAAGTGAAACAATATTCGAGTTATTGGGTACCTGACCAGAAGGAAACAAATAATCTTACAGTTAAAATAGTAAGGGAATTCTTAGAAGAAAATTTCCCCAATATCACAAAGGAGGAGACAATAACCATTCAGGAAGCAGAGAAAACACCAATTAGATTAAGCCCCCTGCCCAAAAAAATAACAACACATGAAGACATATAACAGTTAAATTATCCAACTTTAAGGATAGCATCATGAGAGTAGCTAGAAAGTCACATATAAAGGTAAATAGATAAGAATATGCTCAAACCTCTCCACAGAGGCCATTCAGGAAGGAATTTGGAGGAATGTATTCTGAAAGTTGAAAAACAACTGCAATACAAGAATCCTTTATCCAGCAATGCTCTCCATCAAATGCAAAGGAAAAGGAAAAGTTTTCTCAAATAAGGAGACAGAGAATGTGGAAAAACAAAACCAGCATTACAAGAAGTACTTTCCAGTTTTTTATGGGAATTAAAACAACATCTGCAGCACTCAAACATGAGACCACCACAGTGCGTAACACCACCCAGGAACCAACACACTGAAAAAAATACTTAAAACAATACAGATCTAGTGGAGAAACAGACAAAAATAAATTCACACACAACACACTGTAAAAGGAGAAGAAAGGAAAATATCAAACACAAATAGTATGAGATGACAGCAACAAATTTACAATTAGATTAAATTACTCTAGATGTCAATAGTTTAAATGCACCAAATAAAAGATAAAGAGTAGCAGACTGGATTAGACAACAGAATCCATAAATCTGCTGCCCTCAGGGGGCACATCGCAAACACAGACAAAAATAAACTCAGAGTCAAAGTTGGTGGAAAATCTACCACGTTAATAGCAATTTTTAAAAAAGAGCTGACAATATTAATCTCTGATAAAATAGATATCCAAGTGTAGCACATAGCGAGAAATAAGAATGGGGATTACATAATGATCAAGGCATCAACAGACCAATGACCTATAAACATAATAAACATGTACCCAATGAAAGATTCTCAAAACTCGTCAACCAAATCCTCAAAGAGATGAAAAGTGAAATCACTAGGTCAACACTCATAATAGGGATTTCAATACACCACTTTCAAAGAAAGATAGATCAATGATAAGAAACTCAATAAAGAAATGGAAGAGCTGAACAGTACAATTGAACAACTCAACCTCCTAGATATTTTCAGAACTCTCTGACCATGAGCAAAAATTACACATTCCAGCAGGATTTAGACTACAATACAGCTGTTAAGTTCTATTTTGTCGTTCCCCCTGCTCAAAGTAAAGTTGTTTCTTATCTATCCCTGTCTGCTAGTTTATTGTTGCAGCCCAGGGAC